CCCGCTGCAGCTCTGCCGGGGCCCGCGGGGTGACGTTCTTGCTCTTCCAGCCCCAGCCCTTCTGCTGGAGCCGGTGTGGCTGTTTGGGCCCCGCCCTGCTGCCAGCGCTGCCACCCCGGAGCGGTTTCTTGGCGCCGCTCCCGGGTGTGGGGCACGGCCTCTGTCTGCCCCCCGAAATGCCCAGGGCTGCGGGGTGAGCTGGGCTTGCCGCTCTCCTGGGGCAGGGCGCTGGCAGGGTGCTCGGGACGGGGCTGCGGTGTTGCAAGGCAGGATTTGTGCAGCATTGGCAGAGCTGTGTGGGATGCTCACACGAAGGCTGCATCGCTGACTCCCGTCGGAGCGGTGACGGTTGGCGTCAAGGTCTCCCTACGCTCTTCTCAGGCTTCTCCCAGCTGCACCCTTTGCCTCTCGCCCACTCCCGACTTCATATCTCCACGTGCCGCCTCCCTGCCACCACCACGCCTCTCGGGAGGCTTGGAGCGCTTTCCCGCTCCGTTTGCCAAGACCCCTCCTCCAGAACCCGGCCCCGCTCCCACCCTGTGAAGGTTCAGGCTGTCCTGGTCACACTTTGCTGTGCGTTAAACCCCGCGGCCTGCCAGCTGCTGGGAGCAGGGCTGCTCCCTCGGGGTGGGAGCAGGCTGCCCACCACATCCCTCAGCTCTCCAGAGTCGGGGGAGCCACCTCTTGCCTTCCCCTCCGTTCCTGGTGACGGACTGTTTCCATCTGCTCTGCCCTCCCCGTCCAGGTGTTTTACAACGGCGCCAACGTGAAGCAGGTGGACGTGCCCACGCTGACCGGCTCCTTCGGTATCCTGGCCTCTCACGTCCCCACCCTGCAGGTCCTCAAACCGGGAGTCGTGACGGTCTATGCTGAGGATGGCACAGCCACCAAGTACTTCGGTAAGTAAAGCAGGCGGAGCTGGGGAGGCAGGAAAGCGTGCGTGGGGGAGTGTTCTCAGGGCTTTCACAAGGGAGACTCTGCCGATCAAGGTGTGCCCTGGTGCACTTCCAGGGATTTCTGCTTTCCCAGCCTCCCGGGGGCTGCTGGAGGCTGCCCTGCGGGGCCGGGAATCTGCCCTGGAAGATGGGGCTCAGCGTGAGGCCGTGGTCTGGGGTCAGGTTTTCTTGGTTCTGCTCAGACTCTCCGGGAGCATCCCCTGCTTTAGCTTCCCTTTTGGTAGGAAACGAGTCCCTGCGGGACTTGGGAATTGTTACGGGAGGGCGTCGAGGTTTTGTTTCGGCAAAGGGATCGTGGAGGTTCCGGGGATGAGCTTGCCAGTGCTGCCCTGTGTTTGGACCCCCAAACGAGCCCTGCCTGCGCTGCCTGACTCGGCCCCCGCTGTTGTGCCTTTGCAGTGAGCAGCGGCTCTGTCACGGTCCACGCGGACTCCACCGTGCAGGTGCTGGCGGAGGAGGCGGTGACGATGGACATGCTGGATCTGGCTGTGAGTAACCCCGGTCCCCGTGGGCCGGGCTGCGCCCTGCCTCCCTCAGGCAGGCCCTGGCAGCCGGGCTCCCTCGTGGAGGGAGTTTTGCTCCCCGCTTCTCTCACACGGGGTGGTTGTCTCAGGAGCTTCCTGTGGCTGCGGAAAGCATGCCCAGACCAGGGGCTGTGCCTTCACCCCGAGCTTCCCCAGCGCCTGCTGATCGGGATCAAAGGCTCGGAGCTTCTTCTCAGTGAACTCTCCACAGGCTGTGGGGAGAGGAAGCCACGCAGTCGTTAACCCTTCTCCGGGCCACTTCCCTCCCCTCGGACAGATGCTGATCTTGCCCCTTCCCACCCTTCTGAGTCTCAGGAACAGCTTTTCCCCATTGGGGCCTGTTGATAAGGCATCTGCTGCCGATGCAGCCGTGTAAGCGGGTCTGTGGGGCCCCGTGCACGGGGCCAATGACTGCAGTGAAGGGAGGGGTGGGGAGGAGTGACTCAAGGGCTGTAGGACAAGTCACCTGTCCTGCAGTGGTCTCTCGATGACGCATTCCTCGTGCTCTCACGTTCAGACTGCAAAATCAAATCTGGAGAAGGCTGTTTCGGAGATGGCTGCAGCATCCGATGAAGCAGCTAAAGCAGAAGCTCAGATTAAAGTAGAAGCTAATGAAGCCCTTGTAAAAGCACTGGAGTAATTAAGGTAAGTGTCACCTATATCCTGGCTGAGATTTCCAGACCTGCTCTGGAGACGAGTCCCTGCTCCGTGCTGCCCATAGGGAGCTTCCTCTCACAGCAGCCAGGCCTGCTGGCCTGCGCGGGGCTGGACAAGGGTTTGTGCCTGGGTTTCAGGGAGCGGTGACACGAGAGCTGTCCCTTTCCGTGGCCGGGCGTCGGCTCTGGGGGGGCTCGTGGGGGGCCCCTGCCCGGAGCTGACCTGAAGCCGCTAGATGGCAGCAGGGCCCAGCGCAGTGCCGCGCCGCTGCACAGTGCCGTGCCGCGCCGCCGCACAGTGCCGCGGGGTTCAGCCTGACGCCGGGACAGGCTGGGAGCCTGCAGTCACTGGTAGGGCCTCCCTGCTGCCTCCAGGTCCCTGCTGGGACAGGTCACGCCAGTGGGCAGCTCAGGAGCAGGCTGGATGCCTGGGGCCCCGGAGGGAGAGCAATGTGTGGCCTCTGCTCCGTGTACACTCCCTTCCACTAAAAACAAACAGCTTCTGTCTCAGGGGAGGCAAGGCCGGGCTGCTTACCTCGTGGCCCCTTTTCCCTCTACCCTGCTAAGACTGTGCCTCATCCCTCTTCTTCCCACGTGCTGGCAGTTGGGAGACTTACTCTGCGGCAGCGTGTGTGCTGTGCCTGGCAGGTGAGTCACCAAAAGCCTCTCCGACGGCCTCTCCCTGGAGCAGGTACAGCAGGGCAGCGGCTCCCCCGCTATCTCCCTGATCTCTGGTCCCTGTGCTCTTTGGCCCGTGAGGTCAGGTCTAAGAGAGCCGGTGGCTCTTGCTTACTCGCAGCGGTTTAACAGCCTGAGCCAGGGCCAAGCCCTCGGATCAGAATCCACCACTCTGCCGAGCCCACCCCGCGTTAAAACCGACTCCGCTTCTGTGTGTTGCAGGAATCCCACTGTCGATGTAGAGAAACCCCAGACTGTCCTACTTGTCCTGGCTTCCCCGGTTGTACAGATGGTGCGGGACAAATGGAGGCGGAGAAAACGCTCTGATCAATTAAAAGGAAATGTAATCCCGTCTCGTAGCATGTCACCTTCTTCTGAGGCAGCAAATTGCAGCTTGTGCTGCACCGGTGGCTGGGTGCCCGGGGGCAGGCTCCTGCCCCCACGCTGGGGTCTGCCGGCGTGCAGTCGCTCGGGGAAGGTGTACCTCCAGCACTGCCCTGGGGTTCGGCTGGGGGTTCCCGTGGGGGATTCACTTACGGGAGGGTTACCAGGCAGATTTTATAACCCCCTCCCTGTGCTGTCAGCCGCCTCTGCCTCCATTAATCCACCTGGACGGCAGGATTACAGCAGCGCGGGAGGAGGCATCCATGGGCCAGCGCAGGTCTGTACCAGAGGCTTCCTGTGCTGACCCCCCGCCCCATCCAACACTGGCTTTTGCTCAGCCTCGCGGCTCCGTTGCCGCAGGAATTCGCGTCGGCCGGGCTCTTTCTTCACGGTATTTCTTGCAGCTGGACAGCAGCTGCCCGGGCTTTGACCCATTCCCCTGCTGCTGCTGCGTTTCCACCGCGCGTGTGGCACGCAGAGCAGGGGAAGTCTCCCCCTGCTCCTTGGAGACAGGCTTGGTGCGGAGAGGGAAGCAGATGCCGTACGTGGTGGGAGTCTTTCCTGAATCCGTGTGTGGTGGGGGTGGCTGATGATGTTGCTCTGCTGAAGTTGCTGCTTGCCTGGGGGCTTGCTAGCCAGCAGCCCCGTCCGAGGAGGCTGCCCTGGGGTCCTCGCAGCCGGGATAAAGCGGGAGGTGCTTGCGTGTCTGCGGCGAGCTCGCCGGTCCCCACGCGCCTCGAGAAACGGCAGCGCCGCTGGGAAGGAGTGGGTTCGAGCGAGGGGCCGGTTCTGCCTGTGCCAGACGCCCGAGGATGCGTGTCTTGCCAACGGCACCATCTGCTGCCAGGCTCCTCGCTCGGTGCCGTCCTCCCCACGCCTCCCCAGAGGGTTTTCGGGTTCCCTCTGCTGCGCAAACCCCCCCCAGCGCGGGCTCGCCAGCCGGGGGAGGCCGAGGCAGCCGCTGGCCCCTGGGCAC